GTATTGGTCCCAGTTTGACCTCGAGGAAGCCCAACCGGCTCCGGACTTCGCCGACGATCCGCGCTTTGTGCTGATGGCCCTTGACTCGGAAGAGTATATTGCGGATTGGGTAGCAGGAGCTAAAAGCGGGCAGGACTTCTGGGTGCGTGCGGAGAAGTTCATCGTGAAGAGGAAACGAGGGGAAATTACGCCAGGTCGGATTCCCGTATAACAGCTGCGTCATTGCGAACTAATGGTTTTTTGCAATTTTTCTGTCACGCAGTCTCTCGATGTTGGATCATAGACGGGGACCTGATTGATTGAGTGCTCCCAATTTTGAGGCATCTTGTATGTGCTTCCTCCCCTCATGCTGCCATATGACTGAACCTCTGCACCGATAGACTGGCGCAGAGTCTTTGTAGCATTGAAAGTTCGCAAGCGTGCACGGATGGGGAAAGATTGTTGACGTTTACTACAGTGCATCCACCAGTTTAGAACAAGTGAATGAATGCTCGGATGTGCTCGCCTCTGCCGGGCTACAACTTGTAAACCGGTGCGGGTATATCTTGGTTCAGTTACATGGGTGTGAAGCCAGGTGTATCCCAAGTCTTGAGAAGGGTAGAAAGCCCTTGTTGATTAATGGGAATTGCCTACTGTCCTTGGGATTGGTCATCTTGTCGAAGAACTCAATCAGTGGGAGACGGAGGTTTGAATCCTCCCGAGGGCATGATCGACAACTGTAAGTTTTTTCTCTTTCTCTTCTTCTGGTTGGATTCAGATCCCAGATCCGGACTGCCGCATTTATGCTCCCTGAATTATCATTTTTGCGTTCGAACATTTATACGGAGTTGTAAGAAGTTTTTTTCGGTGCAAGCAGTTAGTGTATATGCAGGCTCGTGTGAAGGGTATAGCACCCTGGGTCCCCACCACTGATACCATCACAATCCGATAGCATCCACGTGAGGTTCGAATCCTCTTCGGGGCATAAAGGAAGGGGAAGGCGTCTTTCTTTTTCCAAAGCTTTGAACTCAAAAAGAAATCGCATCTATTTGGGGGGCCGCACGGCGGATAGATTCTCCTGATTTCCAAATGGGAGAATTTCACTCAGTGGTTCACTATTAGTTCTCAGTAGCTTCGAAAAATGTGCGCGTATATCCAGGTTCAGTTGAAAGCATACAGAGCCTTGGTTGATTAATGGAAAATCACCTGTGCGACCTAGGAAAAATGTTCCGTAGCTGACGCGCAGCTTCTAAATAGGTGCAGGTATATCTTGGTGCATTCGAGGGGTGTAGATCCCTGGTTGATTGATGGAAATTACCCACTACTCATACCAGGTTTGAATCTTCCTAAGGGCGTGACGGCTTTTCTTCATTTTCTTTTTGGTTTGATCCAAATTCAGGATATTTGTTTAGGCACACTTCACTCGACCGGCATTCGGCTACTCAGGCTTCCAGTAGTTGGATGAATGTGGGCGTGCATATATCCAGGTTCATGTGAAAGCAGTGTTGTCTTTGACGGCGTCAAACGGAGTTTGACGGAACGTCAAGATTTTGACCATTCGTCTGACGATTCGTCTGACGGTTTCCTTTTTTGGAACAACACGGTTTTCAGGGCGCAGGAAGGGCTGCGGCTGATCAAGTACCTTCAGGGGATCCATGGCGGTCTTTTGGAGTATTTTATACCTCATACTCAACGCCGTTCAAGCCCTCAAGATGAAGTGCATATTTTGGACCGAGGTTTTTTCGTCAGCGGCTCTTATTAGCCTGAGTGTGATTTTTTCAGATGTAAAACTGATGGATATCGATTTGGTAATGGTCCAGTCCAAGTTATGGGTGTCCTTGGGGTATTGTACGCCTGTTTTCCGAATTAGGCAACCGTCAAACGAGCCGTCAATAACCGTCAAACGCGGCTGACTGCCGTCAAACGACGTTTTCGTCAAACGGATTTGACGATTGACCCGTCACGGACAACACAGTGTGAAAGGGTATAGCGCCCTCGTTGATTAATAGTAAATCACCCGTACCCGCAGCTAATCAATTTAATGGGAGATGGGGGTTCGAATCCTCTTCAGGGCATGTGTAATTGTTAGACCGCTTTTTATATAAAAAATTCGAGTGGTTCCAATATTTGTTGGCTAAGCTTGGACTGAATGTACTGTCGCAGCTTCTAAAAATGTGCTGTTGCAATCTGGCCGATTGACGGACCGCCGTCGAGGAGAAACTTGTTCGCTTTCAGTATGTGAATTAACACTATTCTCATCATGCTCCGAAAACGAAAAATTGTGCCGTTATATTCGGGTTCTTTTCGGAGGGATAGGCCCTGGTTGATTAATGGTGAATTACCCAAAACCGATGAACTCCGTGAGGGAGTTCGAGTCCTCTCAAGGGCATGTGTAAATGGGATAGTTTTTACTGATCTGTTCCATCCTTAATTGAGCTGCAGCTTGACATGTACTTGCATGTTTTACACGAAAATTGTAGAGCTGGCAGTGGCCATATCTTTCTGCCGCTTGCGGATGAAGTAGCTGAGAATCGTGGCATATCAACGCTCATTTAAGAGCTCTGGAGCCCTTGTTGATTAATGAAAATCGCCCACTGTTCTTGGCTTGGAGCGAGACGAAAAGTTGACAAGTGGGAGACGGAGGTTCGAATCCTCTCGAGGACATAGCGGCTCTACTTGCTTTTTTTCTTCTTTCTCTTCTGGTTTGATTCAGATCCAAGATGCTGCCTGCTGCATGTATGCTCCCTGAATTATTATCCTTGTGTTCAAGCATTTATACGAAGATGTAACACCTTCTAGCTGGCGGGTGAATCCATCTGCGCACATATCTAGGTTCGTTGGAGTGGAATAAAGCCATGGTTGATTAATGATGAATCACCCACAACCAATGAAGTGCTTCACTTGCGGATCATTCCCGTGGGAGACGGAGGTTCGAATCCTCCTTAGGGCATGGGACCTGGGTACCTCTCTGTTATTTTGGTTTGATTCAGGATATTTTTTTAGTGCTGCTGCCGTACTGGAACATATGTATATACGTATCTGTACGGCGTGGTGAATTGTTATCGTCACACTGCGCCCAGCCGGACCGGCATTCGGTTGTTCAGGCTTCCAGTAGTTGGATGAATGTGGGCGATATCCAGGTTCAGTTGAAGGGGTGTAAAGCCCTGGTTGATTACCATACCACTTGAATGCAGAATTATCTGGCTGATGGGAGATGGAGGTTCGATTCCTCCTCGGCAAGCCTGTCGTTTTTTTTTATTTCGTTGATTTGGCTACAGGATCGGTTTCTGAAGACTATGAACCGAAATCCTAGTTGAATTACTACTCGAATCTTTGTGTTCTAATACCGGCGAGAAATTTTGACATGCAGGTTTCCGGGGAGTTGAATAATCTCTGCATATAATATCCGAGTTGGGTGAACAGCGACCAGGTCTGATGTGCGCCGTACACGTACTTTAATTCACTCCTCAAGGATACATGTGGCGTAAGATTATTACAATCTTTGTTTTCAACTTGAACTCGTGAGACAATTGCACGACACTGGCATGCCTGCAAATTCACTGGCTTGCACCAGAGGTGTTTTAACAAATCATGTAGGTATATCCGAGGTCCTAAGAAGGGTAGAAAGCCCTTGTTGATTAATGGAAATCACCTACTGTCTTTACCATTGACCCAACTTTCTAAGTGGGAGACGGAGGTTCGAATCCTCCCGAGAGTCCATCCATGAAACCTTTTTCTTTTAGTTCGATTTGGATCCAAGAAGCTGACTTCTCTCTTTATGCGGAGAAGTGGTTTGAAGTTTATTCAGTGGCTCGCACTTCGAAAATGTGCAGGCATATGCAGGTTCATTTGAGAGGAATAAGCCCTAGTTGATTAATGGTAAATCACCCACAATTTATGAAACGGCCGGTCTGTAGGTATGCATGTGGAAGACGGAGGTTCGAATCCTCCTCAGGGCATAAAGGAAGGGGAGGGCGTCTTTCTTTTTCCAAAGCTTTGAGCTCAAAAAGAAATTGCATCTATTTGGAGCGGCATGGGGGATAGATTCTCTTGATTTCCGCATGTGAGAATTGCATTCTCTAGTTCTTGGCAGCTTTGAAAAATCTGCGCGTATATCCAGGTTCAGTTGAAGGCATACAACGCCCTGGTTGATTAATGGTAAATCACCCATACGACCTAAGTCCATATGGATAATTGGAGGTGGAGGTTCGAATCCTCCCGGTGGATAACTCTGCGCACATATCCAGGTTCGTTGGAGTGGAATAAATCCCTGGTTGAGTAATAGTGAACCGCCCACAACCAATGAAGTGCTTCGCTAGCGGATCATTCGCGTGGGAGAAGGAGGTTCGAATCCTCCTCAGGGCATAGCTCCGGGTGCTGTCTCTTTTTTTTTTTGGTTTGATTCAGGATATTTGTTTAGTGCTGCTACCGCACTAGAACACATGTATATACATATCTGCGCGGCGTGGTGAATTGTTATCGTGCACCCAGCCGGACTGGCAGTCGGTTGTTCTGGCTTTATTCAGTCTAGCAGTTGGATATATGTGTGGTATATCCAGGTCCAGTTGAAGGCCTATAGAGCCCTAGTTGATTAAGGGAAATCACCCGTACGACTTGAATGAAGAGTTAAGTAGCTGATGGGTGATGGAGGTTCGAGTCCTCCTCAGGGTATTCTCCACGCCTGTCGTTTTTTTTTATCTCGCTGATTTTCCGACGACAATTCATAGTTGAATTATTACCCAACTTTTTGCGTTCTGATACTAGGGAGATATTTTTTACATGCAGGTTTACGGGATCTCTGCATATTTCCGGACCATTGAACAAGACATGTCATGTACCCGCTTTAATTCGCCATTCGAGGTACTTGCCGGCGAGCCCAAGAGATGGCTTAATGGTGAAATATTCATTTTTGCTTTCAACCAACTTTCAACACATGCTCGCATTTTATTTGGTGATTGAGGCTTCCGACAAATGGTGATAAAATCACGCCAGTGTATTCCGGGTCTTTAAAATGGTAGAAAGCCCTTGTTGATTAATGGAAATTGCCTACTGTCCTTGGGTGGTAAAATGTTTACAATGCTAAGTAGGAGACGGAGGTTCGAATCCTCTCGAGGGCATGTTCTGGCAGCCATTTTTTTCCTCCTCTTTTGGTTTGATTCAAATTTTCAAAATGCTGACCGTTGAATTACTCTCGCTGAATAATTCTCGCGTTCAAACATTTGTACGGGGATGAAAATAATAATAATTCATAACCACTGAATATTTTCTTTACTCGCACTCCCAGCGGCGTCTAAACAGGTGCAGCTAAATCCAAGTTCATTGGAGAGGAATAAAGGCCCTTGTTGATTAATGGAAATCCCTCACTGTCTTTGGTGTCGAGCCTAGGCTTTCTAAGTGGGAGACGGAGGTTCGAATCCTCCCAAGGGCATGGCGGAGTGTTATGATCTTTTTTTTTTTTGTGAACCTTCTAGTTTCTTAGCTGGTTCTCCTTCTTTCAGGAATTAATTAACCCGCCCTCCTCCTTCTCGCGAACTCGAACCGCCTTCGGATGTGGATCTATTATACTCCGTGGTGGCTGAGACAAAGCCCATTAGAGAATTGAACCAAGTCCACGTTGATGAGTGGACTTGCTGTGAAATTTGCGGCTGCTCATGCCGGTCCTTGATAGCTTTACTCGCATTCGTTTGTCCATAGAAAAAGAATAAAGGAATGCAGTTCAAATGCGCCGACATGCTTGAGGAGTGGTCTGAAAAATCACAACAACTAGGAAAGGCGCGCACATCAGCTGTACTCTCTCGCGAAACTCGTACCTCATTCAGCAGCGGCACTGGTTGACCAACGTTCCAATTTCCAAAAGGGAAATCCTTGTGAAGACGGCATTCACGTTGGGCTGAGAGGTCAGACGGGCAAAATTTAATTAGGCTTGAGAGCGGCATAACCTCGGTCGAACGCGATCATCTTTGCACGTGCCGGTCAAATGATCTTCAAGTTCCGGGAACACTTCGGCTTTTAACTGCACTCTTCAAAGTTCCGCATATCGCTCTGCTTTCCCCTCGACGTTCTCTCCTGATTTTGCCAGCAACAGAGAACGACACACCCGCTAGACCTGCATCATGGCTCCCTCTGCTTTCGCCAACGCCAATATTAAAGAAATCGTCGAGAAATTGACGACGGATGAATCTATTCAGCTCATCGCTGGGGTGGGACTCTGGAAGACATACGCGGTGGACCGCCTTGGTATTCCTGCCATAAAGGTGAGAGTTCATACGTTTCTGGATGCAAAACGCGTTTTTTCAGTCTAGCCGCAGGTCAGCGACGGTCCTAACGGGGTGAGGGGAAACCATTTCTTTATGGGGACACCAGCCAAGTGCCTCCCTTCTGCGACTGCGCTAGGCGCTACGTGGGATCCTGATCTCATCCGCGAAATTGGCCTTAAGCTCCTAGCGCCTGAAGCCAAACTCCGTGCGGCTTCTGTAATTCTTGCGCCAACGTGTAATATTCAAAGGGTGAGCAAAGGCGTAATGAGACGACACTATTGACCAAATATGCTTGCAGAATCCTTTGGGCGGCCGAGTAAGATCCTTGACACTTTGTATGCTCTGCCCTGACGATTGCTACAGAGCTTTGAAAGCTTCTCTGAAGACCCCTACCTGTCCGGTATGCTTGCGGCAGCCTACGTGAATGGGGTTCAGGAGGGCGGAATTGGAACGGCCATCAAGCATTTTGTGTACTCGTCTTAAGTTCTATATTCTCTTTCGTCTGTCAAGTTTAACCCGGTTTACTAGCGGTAGGTAGGTAGTAGGTAGTATTACACGGCACGGTCCCGTGAGGAACGCCGGTTCCCAGGGATTATCTAAGTGTACATGCGCCAATATACACTATTGTCCGCGGAAATGACAAAGAGAACGACAGGACGGCATACGACAGTATAATGAGCGACCGGGCTCTCCGCGAGATTTATCTCATGCCCTTCATGCTAGCACAGAAATACGCCCAACCCTGGTCGTACATGACTGCGTCAGTCGTGCCTCGGTCATCGTCATAGCTATTACTAACATCGAACAGTTATAATCGCCTCAACGGAACCCACCTATCGGAAAATGCACTGATCATGAAAAACATCCTCCGTGATGAATGGAAATTCGAGGGTTTGGTGCGTTCTTAATAGGTTCTTACCGTTGTCAACTAACTTCCATGCCGCAGATCATGAGCGACTGGTAATCATCCCACTGTTTTTGTCTCTGTTCACTCAACAATTTCGCCAGGTTTGGGGTTTACAGCGTAGATCTCAGTATTAACGCAGGGCTCGACTTGGAGATGCCGGGAACAAACAAGTGGCGATCGCTGGACCTCGTCAACAGGTCCATCCAATCTCGGAAAGTGACCCTGCGGACGATCAAGCAGCGTGCCACGAAGGTCTTGGAGCTGGTGCAGAAATGCGCCATCGGTGCACCTGAGGTGGCTGTTTCTATTGTGGATTATTTTACTGCAAACTGACTTTCTCAGGTCCTTGACGGTGATGGTGAAGAACGCACGCTGGAAAGCGAGGAAGACAAGACCCTGATGCGTCGCGTCGCCGCGCAGTCCATCGTTTTATTAAAGAATGAAGGCGGCCTGCTTCCTTTGAGCCCCTCGAAGCTCAAGAAGATCGTGATTGTTGGTGGAAATGCGAAAGCCATCATTCTAAGCGGCGGAGGATCTGCTGCTCTGAAACCTTCCTACTTTATCTCTCCATATCAGGGAATCGTGAATGCTGCGTCGGCAAATCCCGATCTTGAGGTGACGTACTCTGAAGGCGCCCGCGGTTCGTTTCTAATCGGCGCGTTGAGGGCTACTACTGACAGATTCTCAGCATATCTCACATCTCCTTCTCTTGATTACGACCTCTTCACTGAGGAAGGAAAACGCGGATGGACCGGTTCGTGGCACACCCATGTCGATGACGATAGTATGGTTGCTCTGGATGAGCCTCTGAAGACGGATCATCTGGACGAAACTAAAATATTCGTCAGCACCTCCGCCCCTGCAGCGTTGACCAAACGGTGGACACTCAAGCTTCGCGGGCAAATGCTGCCTCGTTCCACAGACGCGCCATTCGAGTTTGGGCTCATCGCAGCCGGTCGCGCTAAGGTGAGTTTGATTGTTGCCCAAGTTTCGCCACTGACCACTTTTAAAGCTATACATCGACGGAGAGCTCCTGATCGATAACTGGACGCGTCAAAGACGCGGCGACGCGTTCCTTGGGTCTGGATCGGAGGAGAAACTCGGGGTGTTCACTTTGAAGGCCGGGGTCAAGCACAATGTTTACGTTGAATTCTGCAACGTTCGCGCACCCGCAGACGGTGATGAAGACGAGGTGGTAATGGACAGGTGACGTCATTCTCACTTTATTTCGCTTGTACTGACGAATATGTTCATCAGTAATCCCGGAGTTCAGCTGGGAGGCGCAGACGTCGTCGACCCTGACGATCTGCTTGCCGAAGCCGTCGCTTTGGCCAAGGACGCCGACGCTGTTATTGCCGTGGTTGGATTGAACGCCGACTGGGAGACGGAAGGAAACGACCGCACAACGTTGGCTCTGCCTGGCCGGACGGACGAGCTGATAGAACGACTTGCGGCTGCCAACCCAAATACGGTGGTCGTGACTAAATCAGTCCGTAATTTTACTTGGCCGTGAATCGAGTTGACGCCGGGCCTGTAGGGTTCATCCATTCTGATGCCTTGGGCTGACAAGATCAAGTCAGTGGTTCACGCATGGTACCTTGGAAATGCAACTGGCGAGGCGATCGCCGATGTTCTCTTCGGGGAACATAACCCCAGTGGGAAATTGTCGTTGACGTTCCCCAAGGCCGAAGAGCATGTACCTTCTTATGGCCATTTCCATTCCGAGAACGGCAAGGTTAGCATGCCATTCTTTTACGACGTGAATGGCCCTAACTTTCAATGGTAGGTTCGTTATGCAACACCGGGGCCGTTTCCGGATCGGAAGTCGCGCAGTTCTATGTCACCCTCCCCACCACGTCTGATCTCACCCATCCCGCAATGCAACTCAAGGGATTCAAGAAGGTCGAGCTCGCGCCGGGCAAGAGCGAATCCTGGAAATCACCTTGGACAAGTACGCGGTGTCGTACTGGGACGACCGGTTCACGACATGGGTGGTTGAAGAGGGAGAGTATGTGGTGCATGCTGGGTCTGCTAGCGACAAGTTGGGACTTCAGGCCGCGTTCTCGCTGCAGAAAGGATTCGAATGGCGGGGCCTCTAGGTCGCGGGTGTAAACGCTAGTTACGGGCATGTGTACTAATATGTTAAAGTTTTGAATCTGGTAATTACTTCTGCGATGTACATCCCGTAGAAGTATTGGTAGAGAGCTCGCTTTGTCATGGAGAAGGTTCTAGCTTTGAACTAGATTCGACAACCGCAATCACGTCTTATATCATAACTCAACCGCGCGGGAGTGGCCTGTAGAGAGAAGGCAGGGAGCGGATAGGATGAATGCGCGAGACGCACCATCGAGGGCACGTGTAGAGATCCAAAGTCCTAATCATCTCGGCCACTAGAGCGTTTGATGCTTTTAACTGACGGAAATTCTGCACGGTAAACGGACTTAAAGAAAGAGGAAATCCGGAGCGACAGGAGGGGACACTGGGATCTGGATAGGAGAGTGGAGATGGTTGAAACGCATTCGTCGGGGCCCAGCTCGCGCTCGGAGATCCCCAAGTGTCGGAGCGCTGGTTTGGTAAGCGCGTCGAGAAGTACTAGTAACTTTTGTATGCCGGGCGCGGTATTGATCCCACGTAAAATCAGCGATTCAAGATGCATCAATGGTGGGACGTCCATAGGGACGCCTTGATGCTCCCATAAAGTAGTACAGTTGAACTCGGCTACAGCAACGGCATGCCGTAGGATTTCTGCGACCACGACCGGCCCCATAGTTTTGGTCGAGATAATGGTAATCTGACCGACTCGGAGTTTGATTCAATGATCACCGATCCGCAATGGTCACTCCGGCCTTTGCCGAGTTCTCCCTTGCTCTTGCCAGTGGTGTGTTGCATGGTCATCCAGATGGATCGCAGCTACGTAACTTCAGCTTTGCGAGGCAAAAGGCGTGTCCATAGGAACGAACTCCTAAACGTGCCCCTATTCGACTGAGACCCACCGCCATGGCCATTGACATGAACGACACTCAGCTTGTTATCGCAGGCCTGAAGAACCGCTTCGACCACGACGCCTTCTGCCCTATCACTATCGTAGAGACGATTCTAAAATTCGGTCACAAGTCCAAACAATCCCCCTTTCTTCGAGAAGCGATTCCTGCTATCGCCACCAAACTTCGATTCCTACTGTCGCGATGTCCAGAAATTGGTCTCCTGTGGCTGTATAGCTGTGAGGCGCATATCGGGCGATACTTATGGCGCCGTCTCTGTCGA